CGGCTCAGGCGGGTGTGCGCAGGCAGAGCCGCACAGGGAGGGCGCGCCCCGTGTCCGCAGCTCCTCCACACGCCTGTGTGCCTCCCCAAACGCCCGGAACGGCTGTCGTCGCCCGCTGCTTCAGAGGAACAGCAGAAGCCTGGAGTATGGGCACGCGTGAAATCATGCACCATTTTCTCCCGCCTATCTCTCTCTGCACAGTACGCGCCCGCAAATACGTACGTCTGTGGCTGCGCACACACGGTTACACACAACGGGCGCTGCTGAAATAAGTGCATCTATGTATATACAGGCACATACGCACATACACCATACACATACTTTTGCATCCCATCGCGTTTGAGATCCTACCTCCTCTGTTTTTTCTCCTTTCGTGGGCGATTTAGACTAGAAGCTTTACAATAAGCCATCGTCGTGGATCAGATGCGCTTACTAAATAATACATTGCCTTTCACATCTTTTCACCCGGGGTTCCTCTTCGGATTTCACATCACCCATGTAATAAAGGGACTGGTTGTACTGGGGCGCGTTAGGACAGGGAAGGACGGCATAAAGGATCCATTTCTCATGGACTGTAGCCGGCTGAATAGTATTCCAGGAGGGAATAAGAAAAGGGGCTTTATCTGGTTTTTGCTTTTCTCCTGGCTTGCATCATTGGGGTTGCTTCTAGTTTTTTTAATTAGGGAAATGCTACTGAATGAAGAGACTTTTATTGTCCGCAATGCGCCAGCTCCCAGCACAGGGACTGAACGCCTCGAAGATTTGGAGGGACCCAGGCGTGGTGCCTCTGGCTGTAGGTGGCTAGGTGTGCATCCCCTTCCCTCGGGGAGCTCTCACCCGGCGCTGCTTCGCCTCCGCTTTTCCACTGGCAGTCACCCCGCCATGAGCGAGGTAGGTTTTTGTCTGCATTGGGCAGTGCGGCAAGAGGGGCCATTCTGGACGGCGAGAAATGCGCCTCCAAGTTGGGCTGGTTTTCCTTCTCCCTCCCGAAACACCACCCGAGCGTTACCTTTGGGGCTCTCTGGAAACTTTCGGGAAGATGGCTGTATTTCTGCCCTCCTAGAAATCCGGCATTTACCTCCAAAATCCTCTGGACCACTGTGCCCTGGCGAGCAGTAGTTGCAAGCAAAGGAGTGGGTAGGAGCAAAGTTCAGATATGCCTCTTTATGAAATAACGAGTTTATTGCCTTCAGGAAGGCAACAGCCCCGTGTAAATAGGTAGCTGCTTTGTGCCGTTCCGTGTGGTTGTTTAGCCTTGTTGCGTACGCCCCGAACAACCATATCTGAGCCTACTTTATATACCAGAAAATAACGCAGGCTCTGCCAGCATAAGTATTATTACTGTTGGGAGAGGCAACCCAAGGTTTTGCGTGTGGAAACGCCTCTTCATTAGAAACAGATTTAGGTGGAAATTGCAGCCAAGAGGCGTTTTAATCCGGACCTAAAATTCCGTGGGATTTTTTTTTTTTTTTTGTATTTTCTGAAATATCAGACCAAGGCAGTATCTCGCATTTCCCCTGGCTCTGCAGCTCCGGCCAGCCTGACTGCGCTGGTGCTGCAGAGGCTGGAGGCTCCCGGCAGAGAAAGCCTGTCAGCAAGATGCGGGGAAAATCGATTTCATTCTCGTCCTAAAACGATAATCAGAC